TTTTTGAGATGGCATCTCACTCTGTTGCCCAGGCTGGAGTGCAGTGGCGCAATCTCAACTCACTGCAAGCTCCGCCATGGGTTCTCGCCATTGAACTAGCTGGGACACAGGCGCCCGCCACCATGCCCAGCTAATCTTTTTTGCATTTTTGGTAGAGGTGGGGTTTCACTGTGTTAACCAGGATGGTCTCGATCTCCTGACCTCATGATCTGCCCGCCTCAGCTTTCCAAAGTGCTGGGATTACAGGTGTGAGCCACTGCACCCGGCCAAAAGTAATAACATTTCAAAATAAGGCAGGCACATAGGCTGCAAGTTGGAATGTGCCTGTGTGTCCAGCACAAATATCTTGGTTAAAGTACAAGGACATAGAATGTACTTATTTCTTTATATCTAACAGCTACATAGGATAGGGCTTAACAAAGTGAGGAGGCTTAAAGGAAGTTAGTCTTTAAACTAAACTATTATTTTAACACATAATTTATTCTTTAACAAGGGAATCTTTGAAGAGGAACTTTTTTTTCACTTTCTACACCAGGTTTAGAGGGACATATTTATGTGGTTTGCTCCACCCTTGTGTAAAGTTAGTTTATTGGTCTTGTTCTAGAATAAACTAGGAATGTGGCTTGTAGGAAAATCCTGCTGGGTAAGGACAGAAGTGCAAAGTCCTATTGCCTTAAGGACATGCCCCACGGCACCCAGTGCTGGGAAAACTGTGAGCCATGGAAGGAAAACAAGGTTTGAAATGCATGGAGCCAGAACCTCATCTGTGGTAAATCCTTCCAAATTTCACAGTTCCTATATGACAGATGGCTGATGACAGTTTCTCAAATTTTACAACAGTCCAGAACATTTATATGTCATCGTCAACAACAGGTTAGGAAGTTTAACTTTCCTACACTACCAATAATTAAAACACAAATTTCAACCATGTTAGGAGGAAGACTGAACTATCTTTTCTCTGTATGGAAAATATCCCCCCAAAATCACAAAATCCTTGTCCTATGTGGAGGCCTTCAGAGTAAGAAGCCAAACCATGTAGGGGACCAAAGTATTATAGAAATATGTCAGGAAGTTGTCACAAATTATGTTATTTTTCTGGATTTAGTATTGTAGTATTTGTCAATTTAAAAAAAGTTTTCAAAAAAAAAAAAGTTTCCAAAAAAAAAAAAAGTTTCATCATTTCTTTTCTCATTATTTTAATTCACTTCCATTTTTGAATTCATAACGTTGTTCTCTTTTTCTAAAACAGGAACCTGGAACAGGTGCTGTGGCTCATGCCTGTAATCCCAGCACTTTGAGAGGCTGAGGCAGGAGGATCAGCTGAAGCCAGGAGTCAAGACCAGCCTGGACAAGATAGTGAGACCCCATCTCTACAAATATATATGTTTTTAATTAGCTGGGTATGGTGATGTATGCCTGTAGTCTCAGCTACTTGGGAGGCCGAGGCAGGATTGCTTGAGTTGGTCAAAAAAACAAAAAGAGGCCGTGCGCGGTGGCTCACACCTGTAATCCCAGCACTTTGGGAGGCTGAGGCGGGCAGATCACGAGGTCAGGAGATCGAGACCATCCTGGCTAACACAGTGAAACCCTGTCTGCACTAAAAATACAAAAAAATTAGCTGGGCCTGGTGGCGGGCACCTGTAGCCCCAGCTACTCAGGAGGCTGAGGCAGGAGAATAGCGTGAACCTGGGAGACGGAGCTTGCAGTGAGCTGAGATCGTGCCACTGCACTCCAGCCTGGGCGACAGAGTGAGACTCCGTCTCAAAACAAAACAAAACACAAAAAGAAACAATTTTTAAAAAGGGAAAAAAGAAAGAGAAAGGGAGTAAAGTGAGGGTCCCTTCATGGAGCTTCTCCAGGGGCCTTGGAGCAAGGGCCACTGAGGTACTAGAGCACGTTTGAGACTGCCATAGAAACAAAGGCAGCTAGGGCGGCCTGCCTGACCCCAGGTTGGGGTTGCTGGAGCCAAGGATCTGGGGAGGGGCTGTTATTGGAGACAGAGCAGTGGCCCCTCAAGGGAGGGCCTTGCAGGGCCTGGGAAGAAGAAACCAGAGCCAGCTGCTGATTGATGGCAGGACTAAAGTCACCTCCATGAGGTGGTGACAAGGATGGGTGAAGCCAAAGGGGGTGTGACTCTACAGTGACTGGGGGCTTGGGGCTCTCAGTCCCCCATCAGAGATCCTCAGTGTCTGGTTCCAACTTCACCACTGCTCTTCTCAGCTGACCAGGTCCCTCCTCGGCTCCCCCTGTGCACTGGAGAGGCCCAGGACCCTCACTCGGCACTTGAGGCCCTTTATCATGGGCACTGCCCACCTTGTCCATGTGCAGAGAGTACCAAAGACAGCACGTGGCCTTTACTCAGAACCAGACCTCCACCTGAAGTTCCCTTCTTTATAGCCATTTCCCCTCAGGGCTCAGCCAGGTTGTCAGCTCCTCTGGGCAGCCCTTCCTGAGCCACCCAAGTCTGTCCCAATGGTAAGTCCTCTCCCATCACACTGGGAGTCCCCAGGTACTGGTCAGGCCAGAGGAGCAGTTTTTGTTTGAGACAAGTTCTCGCTCTGTCACCCAGGCTGGAATGCAGTGGCACAATCTTGGCTCACTGCAACCACTGCCTGCCAGGCTCAAGTCATCCTCCCACCTCAGCTTCCTGAGTAGTTGGTACTACAGGCATACATCACCATGCCCAGCTAACTTTTTTGTTTGTATTTTTTGTAGGGATGCGGTCTTGCCATATTGCCCAGGCTGGTCTCAAACTCTTGAGTTCAAGTGATCCTCCCATCCTGGCCTCTGAAAGCGCTGGGATTACAGGTGTGAGCCACCACACCCAGCCCAGAGGAGCAGTTGTGTCTCCAGGAGGGATCCTTAGGGAGGAAAAGTCAGTTGGTGGGGGCAATGGAGCAGTGTGAGCCAGCCTGTGCCCCACCTGCCCGCCCGTCCTGGACACCAAGTCAGCTGGCTTTAAAAGTAGAAAAGGGACACAGGGTGCAGACAGGCCTGGAGAGAGCAGACCTGGCTCAGGACCCCAGGCTGTCAGGCAGAGAGAGGCACATGTTTGGTCACCCACTCTGGGCGGAAGTCCCCTTTATTTGGATTTGCTGCTGGGTGGCTAGATGATGTAGGTGGCCTTCGATGTGGACCAGGAGGGCATCCAGCATGTGCAGGACCCCACGGAGCAGGGTGTGATCTGAGATTGGGGCCCGCCGTTTCCAGGGTCCGCAGGGCTCAGTGGTCACCTGCGGATGCTGAGAACAGGACCAAGAGGCAGGAGTGAGAATGGAGGGCAGAGAGGGAGGTGCGATGAGGGGCAGTGATGAAGCTGGGGAGCAAGGAGTAGGGTGTGGGGCAGTGCCCAGATGGGATGGGAGACTCAGGGTGACAGAATCACCGAGGGTCTGTTTGGGCTACAGTGGTCACGGGGCCCTCAGGGGCTGGATGAGAGCAAGGGTTCTAAAGCGGAGAGCTGGGGGCAGGGTGCTGGCTGTGGGTGGTGGACATGGGTTCCACGAAGGTGTGTGGACACAGGGACAATGGGCTGTGAGCTGGGGGTGGGAGTGTGGGAGGCCCACAGGCCAGTGTGGACCCATGGGGCAGGGTTGGGTGGAAGACGGCTCACTGGGCGTACATGGAGGCAGGGGCTGTAGGGGAGAAAGAGCTGCGCTCACCTCACCCTTGGTGGCCTGTGAGCACCGCCGCCCCTGCAGTATCTTGCGGCAGATCATCAGCATGGTGGTGGTGATCATGACCCCAGCCACAGGGTAGATGCGGCTTGCTCCAGGGCCCAGCCAGTAACCAGGACAGCTCAGGCCACCCCTACAGCCCTCCACGCTCTTTGGCTGACACCCCCAGGGCTGCAAGTCCAGCCCCACCTGGTACCAGAGGGGTCGCGACCAGGCGTGGGTTGGAGCAGGCATCGCCAGCAGGAGCAGCAAGGGCAGCGAGGCCAGCACGTGCAGCATGGCCGCCGCTAGTGCCAGGGGCCGGAACCTGGTCGCCTGGCGACCGGCAAACGCCCCTCCCCCAAGAACAGGCCTGGCTCTGAGGCAGCAGGTTCCAGCGAGACCCACGGCCTTTCATGAGCAGCCTGGCCAGAAACTGGCTGTGGTAAGGGGGCTGGAGTCCAGGGCTTGAGGAAAATGGCAGACCTGGGTTCTGGGTCCTATTCTCCCAGTGGGCCTGGCTGGCCCCAAACTGAGGGAGCACCTCCTTTTGAAGCTGGGCCCTAGGCTGGGTATAGTGGCACACACCTGGAATCCCAGCACTTTGGGAGGTTGAGGCAGGTGGATGGCTTGAGCCCAGAAGTTTGAGACCAGCCTGGGCATCATGGCGAAACCCCCTCTCCATAAAAAATACAAATAATTAGCTGGGTATAGTGGCACATACCTGTTGTCCCAGCTACCCAGGAGACTGAAGTGGGAGGATCACCTGAGCCTGGGAGGTCGAGGCTGCAATGAGCTGTGGTTGCACCACTACACTCCAGCCTGGGCGACAGAGTGAGATTTTGTCTCAAAAAAGATAAAAAAGGAAACTAAGCCCCGAACAGTTAAAGAAACCAGTAACTAACAGAATTTTTTTTTTTTTTTAAGAGACAGCGCACTGCAGTCTTGACCTCCTGGGCTCAGGTGATCCTTCTGCCTCAGCCTCCTGAGTAGCTGAAACTACAGGTGTGCACCACCATGCCTGGCTAATTTATTTATTTACTTATTTTTAACATTTATTTTGTAGAGATAGGGGTCTTACTATGTTGCCCAGGCTGGTTTCAAACCCTTAGCCTCAAGTGATCGTGCCACTTCAGCCTCCCAAAGTGCTGGGATTACAGCTGTGAGCCACCATGCCTGGCCCCTAGAAATCCTTGAGTTTACAGGATGGTAGATAAGGAAAGAAACAACTTGCTGAAACGCTGAAATTCCCTCTGCTTGTAAGATAACAAAACTGAAATCAGATGGACCCAATATTCCCGACTGGAGTGTGCACAGAAAGAGCTTGCTGACATCACAGCCTGAATTTCCACCATGTTTCATATAACTTCTCCAGAATTTGCACAGGAGACCTATGAGGAGGCATGAAGAGTTAATTGCACATGCCTGAGAACCTTCCAGACCTCCTGCTTCCTTCTACCAATCACCCACCTACTAATCCCAGTATCCATCCCCTAAACCTTTTCTAATAAAATTACTGCCTTACAGCCAGCACAGGGAGACACATTGAAGCTGGACTCCTGCTTCCTTGCTAGTTGACTTGCAATAAAAAGCTTTTCTTGGCTGGGCACGGTGGCTCACGCCTGTAATTCCAGCACTTTGGGAGGCTGAAGTGGGTGGATCAGTTGAGGTCAGGAGTTTGAGACCAGCCTGGACAACATGGTGAAACCCTGTCTCTACTAAAAATACAAAAATTAGCCAGGTGTGGTGGCGGGCACATGTAATCCCAGCTACTTAGGAGGCTGAGGCACAAGAATTTTTTAACCCGGGAGGCGGAGGTTGCAGTGAGCCAAGATCACGCTGTAATCCTAGCCACTGGGAAGGCTGAGGTAGGAAAATCACTTGAACCCGAATCTGGTGTCCGGCCCACAACTGTAATCTCAGTACTTTGGGAAGCTGAGGTGGAAGGATCTTTTCAGCCCAGGAGTGAGACCATGGTGGGCAACATAGTGAGACTCCGTCACTATATTTTTTAAAAAAGAAATTAGTCCAACATGGTGGTATGCACCTGTAGTCCCAGCTACTTGGGAGGCCGAGGCGGGAGGATTGCTTCAGCCCAAAACCCAGTGTCACAGTACTGGTTTCTAGCATTTCAAGCAGTGAGTCGTTTTGCTCAGTAACACTTTCACCCTGGCCTTCTCCTCACCTATCAGCCAATCCCTAAAATCCAAACACCTGCAGTGGCTCACGCCTGTAATCACACTTTGGGAGGCTGAGGCTGCGGATCTCTTGAGCCCAGGAATTTGAGCCCAGTCTAGGAAACATAGTAACAACCCATCTACGGATTTTTTTTTTTTGGGGACAGACTTGCCCTCTCACCCAGGCTGGAGTGCAGTGGCGCAATCTCAGCTCACCGAAACCTGTGCCTCCCTGGTTCAAACGATTCTCCTGCCTCAGCCTCCCGAGTAGCTAGGATTACAGGCGTGCATCACCACACCTAGCTAATTTTTTGTATTTTTAGTAAAGATGGGGTTTCACCGTGTTAGCTAGGATGGTCTCAATCTCCTGACCTCGTGATCCACCCACCTTGGCCTTCTAAAGCGCTGGGATTACAGGCTTGAGCTACTGCACCCAGCCCCAATTTTTGTATTTTTAGTAGAGACAGGGTTTCACCATGTTGGCCAGGCTGGTCTCGAACTCGTGACCTCAGGTGATCCACCCACTTTGGCCTTCCAAAGTGCTGGGATTACAGGTGTGAGCCACCACACCCGACCTTACAAACTGTTTTTTAAAAACTAGGCCGGGCGCCATGGCTCAGGCCTGTAATCCCAGCACTTTGGGAGACCAAGGCAGCCGGATCACCTGAGGTCAAGAGCTTGAGACCAGACTGACCAACATGGAGAAACCCTGTCTCTACTAAAATAGCCAGGTGTGGTGGTACATGCCTGTAATCCCAGTTACTCAGGAGGTTGAGGCAGGGGGATCACTTGAACCTGGAAGGTGGAGGTTGCGGTGAGCTGAGATCGCGCCATTGCACTCCAGCCTGGGCAACAATAGCAAAACTCTATCTCAAAAATAAATAAATAAATAAAAGCCCGGGTGCAGTGGCTCAAGCCTGTAATCCCAGCACTTCAGGAGGCCGAGGCGGGCGGATCACGATGTCAGGAGATTGAGACCATCTGGCTAAATGGTGAAACCCTGTCTCTACTAAAAATACAAAAAAAAAAAAAAAAAAAAAAAAATTAGCTGGACATGCTGGCACACCCCTGTAGTCCCAGCTACTCAGGAGGCTGAGGTAGGAGAATTGCTTAAACCCAGGAGGCGGAGGTTGCAGTGAGCCGAGATCATGCCACTGCACTCTGGCCTGGGCGACAGAGCGAGACTCCGTCTCAAAAAACAAGCCAACAAACAAAAACTAGCTGGGGCTGGGTGCGGTGGCTCACGCCTGTAATCCCAACACTTTGGGAGGCCGAGGCAAGAGGATCACTTGAGGTCAAGAGTTCAAGACCAGCCTGGCCAACATGGTGAAACTTCGTCTCTACAAAAATGAGCTGGGCATGATGGTGGATGCCTGTAATCCCAGCTACTCAGGAGGCTGAGATAGGAGAATCACTTGAACCCGGGAGGCAAGATCGTACCATTGCACTCTGGCCTGGGCAACACAGTGAGACTCCATGTTTCACCATGTGAGACTCCATCTTTTTTGGGGGGAGGGGGGAAACTAGCTGGGTGTGGTGGCGTGTGCCTGTAGTCCCAGCTACTTAGGAGGCTGAGGCAGGAAGATCGCTTGAACCCAGGAGGTCAATGCTGTAGACAGTGGTGATCACAGCACTGCACTCCAGTCCGGGGGACAGAGCAAGAGCCGATTAAAAAAAAAAAAAAAAAAATCGACATGGCCCCTAAAACCTTTTGCTTTCCACCAGGGGCATCACCTCTCTAGGCTGACCAAACTTGCAGGTCCCCCACACCCAGCCTCAGCCCCACAGTCCACATCGCAGTTGGGTGAGTGCTCGAAGATGTGGGATCCAAATCCACAGGCAGCTCCCCCACTGTCAGAACAAAGCCCGAAGGCTCCCCCTGGACTGTGAGGTCCCCTCACTCTCTCACCTCAGCTCATGCTGCCCCTGCCTCCCTCAATACCCCCACTGTTCCCAGTGTCAGGACCACAGCTCCCCACGTCTAAAAAGTCACCTTCTTATGGCTGAAGTTTCAGTTCCAGGGTCACCTGCTGAGTCCCCCTCCCATAAGCATCTTGGGTAACATATGACCTCTATCACATGACCCTGCTTTTCTTCAAAGCATTTCTAAATACCTGAAATTTCCTGTTTGAGATCTACTGCCCTCTCCAACATATAAGCTTCATTCAAACAATATTTACAGAGCAGCTGCCAGACACCATTTCTGATGCTAGGATGTGGTGTGACAGAATAAATAAAAGCTCTTATTTCCTGGGGCTGAGCTTCTAGGCCATGAATGGGGGTGGTGGGGATGATGGTGCCAGGCAGCAACACAGGCCATGATAAAACAGAGCCAGGCAAGGGTGTCTCTGTGATTTGAAGGGCAAGGTGGCCTCTGTCCATGCTCAGGATGGTGCCCAGACCCCAGCACAGGGCCTGGCACCTGCTCAGACCTGATGAACAGCAGCGCTCACATGTTTGGAGCAGAGGACCTGAGCCCAGCATTGTTCTAAGCATTTCCCAGCACTTCCTCATTTATTTATTTATTTTTGAGATAGGGTCTTGCTCTGTCACACAAGCTGGAGTGCAGCTCCCTCCAGCACGATTTCAGCTCACTGCAACCTCCACCTCTTGGGTTCAATCGATCCTCCCACCTCAGCCTTCCCAGTAGCTGGGATTACAGGCACCTGGTACCATGCCCAGCTCATTTTTGTATTTTTAGTAAAGATGGGGTTTCACCTGCCTCGGGCCTCCCAAAGTGCTGGGATTATAGGCTCGGCATCTACTCATTTAATATTCACTGAGCAACCCATGAAACAAGAACTGTGACCACTCACGCTCTACAAATGAACAGTACACTGAGGACCAGACAGATCCTAGGACCTGGTCCCTCCCCTGCCATCACTGTGTCAGCTGGCCCAACGCCCTACTGCCTGCTGGGTCACATGCCCAGATGTCGGCATTTAATGGCAGAAATCAACACACACTCCTTGGCTGACAGTGTTCTACCATGCCCAGGTGATCTATCTGTCACCCATGCAGTGGCATGATCTCTGCTCGCTGCAACCTCTGCCTCCCAAGTTCAAGTGATTCTTGTGCCTCAGCTTCCCGAGTAGCTGGGATTACAGGTATGCACCACCATGCCCGACTAACTTTTGTATTTTTAGTAGAGGCAGGGTTTCACCATGTTGGCCAGGATGTTCTCGAACTCCTGACGTCAAGTGATCCACCCGCCTC